TAAATCAAATCAATTTAACGTTAGAAGACTAATTTTATAATATAAGTATTAATTAGATTATTAAAATTAGTTACCATTGAAAGTGTACTAATAATCTTAATTTATTTTATGTTATGTTCTTCTAAATGATTATTTTTTAAAATAAATTATATACACAGGGTGTCCCATAATGTTCTAACAAATCCATATACAGTTCTTATGACAAATTGTCAAAATATCAATAAAGAAAAAAAAACTAATAGAAAAATTACTAATCCATAAAAAATAAGTTCAATTTTTAATTATTTTAAATCTTGGGAACAAATATTGTAAGTAAATTTAATGCTATTATATAAATGTAATATAAATTTATATTATTACTGAAAAGCTATGAATGTTGAATTGAATATTAGTTTGTATGCTGTATAAATATGTATAATGTATGAGTTAATTTTATTTATACAATATATAAATAATGGTAATAATTTATCAAAATACATTCCAGTGAATAATGATAATAATTATATCTAATTTTATAACCTTCAAATGTATCATTATAAGGACTGTTAATTCAAAATAAATTAGATATAAGTCTAACTGTTATTTATAAGCACAAACAATTAACATATTTTGTGAAACAAATATTATACTTATAAATTGTTTTATGTTTGACATATTTCAATAAAATTAGTTATTGTGATGTTGTTTTTGATATTAACTGAAGAAGTCAAATAAATATGTTTAACCAGGGCCTATTAGTTAAATAATTAAAAATTATTTATTTATATAAATATTTTTATATTTATATCTCAAGGATGATTTTAGTATGGGTTATTGATAATTTAAGGATGTTAAAACTTAGAATCTATTTTATAAGATCAATTAAAGATTTTTAGTTTGAAACCTGAACTGTTAAATGGAAAGTTAATAGAGGTAATGGAATATAATAATAAATTATGATGATCCTTAGTTTATTTTTGTAAATAACAGTTTTCGTATAAAATATTGTACATATTAAAAACTATATTGATTATGTTAAATGTATCTTAGCATCCAGACTGCAAATTCATTGACGATATTGTTTTTGTGATCATTGAAGTAGTGTTCAAACTTTTATTTACGCCCAATTTAAAACTTTCCAATAACAAAGGCAATGCCATTTCTAAAAAAAATTACTATTACTACATAAATTTAAATAGAATATAAGGGTATAACTACCTTTACACATAGATAATGAATCGATTTTGTTGCGAATTGTACTGGACACTTCATTATCATCAGATATTAATGCAGTCAATATAGCAGGTAATAATATTGTGTTAGTTGATAATACAGTTTTTCGACAATTCAAATAATGTAAAAAAAGACTAAATGATGGAATGCGATAATTTGATGATGGATTTCTTATTAATGTAGTTATTTTGTACAAAAATGGTTCTAAAATTTTATTAGTACGATGAACTGAACGTTCCATTTCACCAAGCATATTGTTGGCAGTATCTGAAATAATTTAATGTGTTTTTTATTAAAAGTAGTAACTTATTGTATAAATTGCATAAATATATAATATATGGTTCACATCAGGCAGAGAAGACATTTTGGGNCTATATAATATATGGTTCACATCAGGCAGGGAAGACATTTTGGGAATGGGTATTGCCTTATTTTTGTTAGTGCGACAACAATTTTTTTATAAAATAATTCTATTAATTTTTTTAGGAAGGAGGTATAGTTTCTATGACCATTTTCTCTTGTATCTCTGTCTAATTCATATTGACAAACGGCATTTGGATAAATTTATACAATTCTAAATAAACATTATAAT